AATGTCTCAACAAGTGGCTGCACATTTCCACTGCCACCGGAACACCATTTCTGCACTGGTGAGACGCTACCAGAACACAAATGACGTCATCGATCGGCCACGTTCTGGACGTCCACGTGTAACAACGCCAATTCAGGACAGATATGTAAGAGTGACCCATCTTCGCCACAGGTTTCAGACTGCAGTGATGACTGCCCGAACCATCACAGGACTCTACCGTATCCACCCCAACACAGTTCGACAACGTTTACGTCATCACGGGATCAGACCACGACGTCCCGCGATACGGCCTGTCCTGATAAAACGTCATCGACAAGCTCGCTGAATGTGGTGCCGAAATCATGTCCTCAGACCCTTGTGTTTGGTGGAGAAATGTTGTTTTTACAGATGAGTCAAGGTTTAATATTTCCCATAGTGATGGACGTCAACGTGCCTATAGACGCGTGGGAGAACGTTATGCACAGGCCTGTGTCTTGGAGAGGAATCGCTTTGGTGGTGGTTCCATGATGATGTGGGGTGGAATAACAGCTCGCCAAAGAACTCCTCTGGTGATTGTTCAGGTCAACTTAACTGGTGTGGGCTACAGGGATGAGATTCTTCGACCTGTGGCAATTCCTTTTCTGCAACGTCATGGCCCTGGGTTAACATTCCAACAGGACAATGCCCGCCCTCATACGGCAAGGGTTGCTATGGATTTCTTGCAACACCACAACGTTGACTTACTGCCTTGCCCTGCAAATTCACCGGAACTCTCCCCAATAGAGCAGACCGCCTCCATGGTGTAGTGGTTAGAGCGTCCGCCCGGAGAGCGGAAGGTCGCGGGTTCGATCCCCGGTCGCGTCATACCAAAAGACGTTAAAATATGGTACTTGTTGGTCCCTGTCTGGCGCTCGGCATTAATGAGTACAACAAGGACTGGTCGGTTCGGAGTCGGTATAATGTGTCTGAGCGGGGTATTCATGCTTCACTGCGGCATGGTATCTCAGTGAGCTAGCACTACAACACCAGCTTAAGTCTGGGCTAGTACAAGCAGCCGCACATACACATACTATTGAACGGCAACTGCAGTTGTGTTCAAACAAGATAAATCAATGGTGTCTTGAAAACGGCTTTAAATTTACTAAATCCAAAACTAATTGTATACATATTTGTAGAAAATATAAACCGCATAAAGACCCAGAACTGTTTTTGATGGCATTCCCATCAAAGTTGTCAAGGATGCCAAATTCTTGGGTTTAATTTTTGACTACCATTTAACGTTTCTGCCGCATATTAAATCCCTTAAAACTAAATGCCTGAAGGCACTTGACTTCTTGAAAGTTGTTTCCAATTCTAAGTGGGGAGGGGATCAAGCTACCCTCCTACACCCATTAAATTATTGTCCTCCTTAAAGGGTACGTAAGTCCCAAAAACTTTCAAAGTTAACTTTTCACGTACCAAGTTTTTAAACGTAGTGTTTTGGGTTTTTTAGATTTCGGCTAAATTATCCTACAGTCGCCAGCGGCTGAAGGGATGGTGTAAATTCAGCTAGGCTCAATGCAGGTAGCAAAAGTAATGTAAGTCCCCATGGTTCCTGGTATGGTGATCTACATTCAGATGTTGGCGATCTATAGCCCGTGTTTTATATTGTCTTCTTTAATTAAAATCTTTTAGTTTGACATGCTAGTTTTATGTTCATATCTGTGATACTCTAGTATTTTTATTGTTCATCGTCGACAGGTTTCACTCTGTACAATGTTTTGTATTATATAAATTGTTTTCGTCACGATGTGGCTGAGATATTGCCGATGTGACGATAAATATTAACTTACTCACTCACTCACTCACTCACTCCTACACCTATAACGATCATTGGTCCGTTTCAAACTTGATTATGGCTCCATCGTATATGGTGAAGCCTGTACGAGCAACCTAAAAATAATAGATTCTATTCATCACCAAGGTCTAAGACTTTGTCTTGGATCCTTTGTCCCTAGTATGTTGATCTACCTTCTGTTGTTGGCGATCTATAACCTGTTTTTATATTGTATTGTGCAAACAGTGCTCTTACTTTTAACTTTCCACGCCAGTTTTAATTCTAATTGTGATATTCTAGTTGTTTTACTGTCCTTCATCGACAGGTTATAATAATATACATATATTCCATTTCATTGTCAAATGTTCTCGTCACGATATGGCTGAAATGTTGCCGATGTGACGTTAAATATTAACTCACTCACTCACTCTTGGATCATTTAGAACTTCTCCTGCCGACAGTCTTTACGTCAAGGCCGATGAGGCATCTCTTAACCATCGCCGTATAAAATTATCCTTAAAGTATGAAACAAAACTATATTCAAATCTGTCAAATCCTGCATTTAATTGTGTTTTCAATCCTCTTTATGAGGACCTGTACAACAAAAAGTCTTCTCTTGTTCCACCTCTTGGATTACGAGTCAAAACTTTCATTTCTGCAGCTGGCATTGAGCTAGAAAATATATCTCCTTCCCGCCTTCTTTCTTCTCCTCCTTGGCAATTGGTGAGGCCACAGGTTGACCTAACACTGAAAGCGTTTACAAAATCCGAAACTAATGAATTACAATATAGACAAAAATATAATCAATTAAAGACTAAATATAATACATACAAATCCTTATTTACAGATGGGTCCAAGGATGGTGGCGCAGTCGCATTTTGCCACAGTCATTGGATCCAGAACAATATTTTCTCGATTACCAAATAACAGCTCATTTTCATAGCAGTAGCTAACGCCAAAGAAACAGCTCTTAGATATATTAATAAACACCATAAATATAAACAATACATAATCTTTTCCGATTCTCTTTCGTGCCTTCAGGCCATTAACAATCTGTCTTGTAAACATCCACTTTTAATAGAAATTATTGAATTGTATAATGATCTTGAAACTGACCAATGCCACATCGTCTTTTGTTGGTTACCCAGCCATTTTTGGCATTTCTGGGAACACAATGGCCGATCTTGCTGCCAAGGCAGCACTCAACAAATCTGTGACACCACTTCTTATTCCATACTCTGATTACACAGCTAGCATTAGAACCTACATCTGTGATCTGATGCAGAAGAAGTTGGACACCCAAGGTGGTATCATTAAATTACATGAAATACAACCCTATATCGGTTACACCTACTTGAGTTGTCAGTCCACATTTGAAGAGGTCATCATACGACGGTGTCGTATTGGCCACACAAGATATACACACGAATATTTGCTCATGTGTGAAGATCCTCCGTTTTGTATGCCTTGTGATGAAAGAATCACGGTCAAACATGTCCTGCTTGACTGCATTGATTTTTCCTTCACAAGGGATAAATATTTTAATGTCAAAACAATTAAGGATCTTTTTTATAATGTTAATTATCATTTAATAATCGACATTTTAAAGGAAATAGAAATATTACATAAATTTTGAATAATATGTTTTGTAAATAGACAAATGGTATTTTAAACATGGTAGTATGAATTAGCAACTGCGATTGTAAGTGGCTGAATCCTCAAAGGAGGTTAACGTATCGTAAAATTATTGTCCTCCTGAGAGGGTACGTGAGTCCCAAACACTTTCAAAGTCAATTTCGCACAACCATAATGTTTAATCGTAGAATTTCTGTTATTTTAACTTTCGGCTAAGTCTTCCTACATCGCCAGCGGCTGAAGGGATGGTGTAACTCCAGCTAGGGTCCGTGCAGGTAGCAAAAGTAATGTAAGTCCCCATGGTTCCTAGTATGGTGATCTACCTTCAGTTGTTGACGATCTATAGCCCGTGTTTTATATTGTATTGTCTTCTTTATTTAAAATCTTTTAGTTTGACATGCTAGTTTTATGTTCATATATATGATATTCTAGTATTTTTACTGTCCATCTTCGACAGGTTTTACTCTCCAAAATGTTTTCAGTTTTAATTGTATAAATTGGTTTCGTCACGATATGGCTGAAATATTGCCGATGTGACGTTAAATATTAAATATATACACACGAATATTGGCTTAAATGTGAATATCCTGCGTTTTGTATCCCTCGTGATGAAAGAATCACGGTCGAGCATGTCCTGCTTGACTGTATTGATGTTTCCATCACAAGCGATAAATATTTCAATGTCGAAACAGTTAAAGATCTTTTTTATAATGTTAATTATCATTTAATAATCAACATTTTAAAGGAAATAGAATTATTACATAAATTTTGAATAATATGTTTTGTAAATAGATATGATATTTTAAACATGGTAGTATAAATTAGCAACTGCATTTGTTAGTGGCTGTATCCTCGAAGGGGTTTAAAGTATCAAAAATTATTGTGCTAGTGAGAGCGTACGTAAGTCCCAAAACTTTCAAAGTTAAATTTGAGCTAACCAGATTTTAAACGTAGTATATTTGTTCTTTTAAAATTCGGCTAAAGCTTTCCTATAATCGCCAGTGGCTGAGGGGATGGTGTAAATCCAAATTGGGTCCATGCAAGTAGCAAATCTAAGGTACTGTAAGTCCCCAAGGTCCCTAGTATGGTGATCTATCTTCGGTTGTTTCCGATATATAGCCCATGTTTATACTGTCTTGTCCTAATTCGACGTCCAATTGTAGAGAGATATGCTAGTTTTATTCTCCATACTGTGGTATTCTAGTTGGTTTTACTGTCCTTCGTAGACAGTTTTTTTAATTATTTACATGTATTTAGGGTTAATTTGAAACTTGTTTTAGTCAAGTTTTGGCTGAAATATTGCCGATGTGACTGTAAATTTTAACTAACTCACTCACTCACTTAATCAAAACATACATTCAGCAGATGATCAGCGGAACACCTATGTCTCATTGAACCTACGATAGAGGCGACACTACACAACTTACATTTTCTGGCACATTAAGTTTAGGTGATTTCACAGTATTCATTCTAAAATGCCAACAAATTGCCGCTTTGTAATCAAACTTTACATTCAACAGATAAGAAGCGGAACACCCATGAAAGATGTCCACAAGAAAAAGAAGATAAGATGGAAACTCAAGAAGACAGCCCGCTCCACGATGCCTGTAGGAACGGGGACCTGGGCCGAGTGAAACGCATCCTGTCCCGAGGTTTAGTTGACGTCAACAGTAGAGATGAGAAGCACAGAAAGACACCACTCATGGTGGCGGCTCAAGAGGGACATCGACGGCTATTTGCCTTTATTGTTATAAAAGGAGCTAATGTATCACACATAGATCAATACGGAGACAATGTCCTGCACTTGGCCTGCAGAGGGGGACATATGGGTATGGTGAAGGATGTAGTCACACAATACATGATTGATATAAACTGTAAGGGAATGTACGGGTCAACTCCATTGTTGCAAACTGTATATTGTGGACACAGAGACGTGTTGAAGTTCCTCGTGTCCAATGGAGCTAAATTGTCACACGTGGATGACTACGGAGAGAATATCCTGCACTGGGCCTGCAGAGGGGGGCATGTGGGTGTCGTGAAGGATATACTCACACAATACAGTGTTGATATTAACAGCAGGGAGAATCACGGAGAGACCCCTCTAATGAAGGCTGCATCAGGAGGACACAGAAACGTTTTGGAGTTCCTCGTGAGATTGGGAGCTAATATATCATGCGTTGATGATGACGGAGACAACATACTTCATCATGCTTCAGTTGGGGGCCATGCAAAGACGGTTCAGCATATCCTATCACAAGACATAATGGACATTAACAGTAGAGGAAAATACAGGAGGACGCCATTGATGGGAGCAGCGTATTATGGACATAGAAAAGTGGTTGATCTTCTTGTGAGTAAAGGTGGTCTAACTCAGTTAGTGGATGATTATGGTTACAACATCCTTCACCTGGCCGCTAGCGGTGGACAGGTTGAGATGGCGAAGCATATTCTTACCCAAAACATTGTAGACATTAACAGCAGAACAAACACGGGAGCAACCCCGCTGATGAAGGCGGCATATAAGGGACACAAAGACGTTTTTGGGTTCCTCGTGAATAAGAGAGCTAATGTGTCACACGTAGATGATGACGGAGACAACATACTCCATCATGCCTCAATCGGGGGACATGCAGATATGGTTCAGCATGTCATATCAGAAGGCCTGGTGGATATAAATAGTAGAGGGAAGTACAGAAGGACACCATTGATGAGAGCGACGTATTTTGGACATAGAAAGGTGTTTGATCTTCTTGTGAGTGAAGGTGGTCTAACTCAGTTAGTGGATGATTATGGTAACAACATCCTTCATCTGGCCGCTAGCGGTGGACAGGTTGAGATGGCGAAGCATATTCTTACCCAAAACATTGTAGACATTAACAGCAGAACAAACACGGGAACAACCCCGCTGATGAAGGCGGCATATAAGGGACACAAAGACGTTTTTGGGTTCCTCGTGAATAAGAGAGCTAATGTGTCACACGTAGATGATGACGGAGACAACATACTCCATCATGCCTCAATCGGGGGACATGCAGGTATGGTTCAGCATATCCTATCACAAAACATGGTGGACATTAACAGTAGAGGAAAATACGGGAGGACGCCATTGATGGGAGCAGCGTATTTTGGACATAGAAAGGTGTTTGATCTTCTTGTGAGTGAAGGTGGTCTAACTCAGTTAGTGGATGATTATGGTAACAACATCCTTCATCTGGCCGCTAGCGGTGGACAGGTTGAGATGGCGAAGCATATTCTTACCCAAAACATTGTAGACATTAACAGCAGAACAAACACGGGAGCAACCCCGCTGATGAAGGCGGCATATAAGGGACACAAAGACGTTTTTGGGTTCCTCGTGAATAAGAGAGCTAATGTGTCACACGTAGATGATGACGGAGACAACATACTCCATCATGCCTCAATCGGGGGACATGCAGATATGGTTCAGCATGTCATATCAGAAGGCCTGGTGGATATAAATAGTAGAGGGAAGTACAGAAGGACACCATTGATGAGAGCGACGTATTTTGGACATAGAAAGGTGTTTGATCTTCTTGTGAGTGAAGGTGGTCTAACTCAGTTAGTGGATGATCAGGGTAACAACATCCTTCATCTGGCCGCATGGGGTGGACGGGTTGAGATGGCGAAGTACATCCTCTCACAGAACCTGGCCGACATTAACGCCAGGGACAAGGATGGGGACACAGCAGCCATGATAGCAAATCGTAAAGGAAAACTTGACGTGTATAACTTTCTTGTTTCACAGGGTTGTCCAGTAACATAAGTGTAGCTTGTGGGTATATTTCACACAGTGTGATATAGCCGTTACCAATAGCAGAATGTGACATGCTTCCTTTAAAGCGTGTAGGTACAGACATCGATGAACTAGTGTTATTTAATTCTTAGTCGTTATGTTGTGAAGTACACACTGCAGCTTATGACGTGCAATAACAGATACTGAGCATCTCTTGTCAGTTAGACTTGGTCGTCGTTGTGTGCAAGAGTTAACGATGACGTGATGCTAATTACTACCGCCTCTTTTGTTAACCAACTGAAAGATGCGAACCTGACAGGCATCATGGTCAGCTTTGACGTCATCGACCTATTCACCAACATTCCCCGACAAGACATGACATCCTCCGCAATTATGATAGACTCCACACCAAAATGGAAGACCTAGACACATCATCAGCCTCGTCTCAAGCTGTTTTGACACCTCATATTTTACGTCCAACAGCTAGATCTACCAACAAACCCACGGACTCCCTCTGTATTTCCAATTATCATTTTCCTGACATCCTTTTAAGAATCGTCCCTCTCCACAGCACCATTGCAACCCCGTTGTTCTGTGTTGTTTTTGTGTTACCTATATTCCTTGCTTCCCTCACTAAACTGTGCATTCTAGAATTTCATTTTTCGTTGTACATGTATATATGACTATATGAATGTGTTGTGAATATATTGCCGTGATTATGTTGCTGTAAATATTTCATGTACATGTGAATAATGATCTTCGGACTACAATCTGGAGGAAATACAGAGATTCATTCATTCATTCCATTGGTGAGCACTTGTTAATTAGTCTTAGTTGTTGTTTTATGGGCTGTGTGGTGGATATCGGGGAGTATCTCACTTTTTGTGGCGACGTCTTCTGGGGAACAAGACTGCCTAAGGCTGTAAAGATGCATCGAACTATAGATGGATTGCAATTGTTGAGTCTCCGATATCAATTAATCCATGGTAGAAACGAAAACCTATCGATAGTATGTGTGACTGTCGGTAGTTTAGTAATTGCCTTCCGTTGACAAATGCGCAGCGCAAAATACAGGAGGTACCAGATTCGTTCACTTTGATTAAGAGTTGTCCGCCCCTGTTACCTGTTAAAAAAACATGACGGCAAACACGGCATGATACTCGGAGTTTGAAATTGTGAATAACAATAAGTTTATGTTTTAACTGTTTACTTGATCTTTGTTTCAAGCCTCTTGTCAGTTATTAAAAGAGACTGACACTACTTCAACTTGTTTTAGTTCATATAAACTATACATTCATTTGGGAAATGACTTCAAATCATTGAATTCAATTCATGCAATAGTTAGTCACCATAGACTACCGCTGTCGCAATAATGATTTGCAATAGACTATCGCTATTGCAATAGTTGTTTCCCCCTCAATAGTCACCCCTAAAGACGGGTACTGTTAATTTGTGTGAGCATGATATATATATATATGTCTGTGTATATTCAATAAAATATTCTGAAATATTGTAGATTTTATTAGTGTTTGATTTTAAAGGGCATTATATGTGTGAATGAACATGCGTCAACGTGTGTGTGAGTGAGTTGGATTTTATTTTGTGTTGCACGGAACAGTATTTCAGTTATTTTTATCACATCTTGTGGCTTCCTGTCGGATTAAAGCCTCACATGGAACAAGTCTTGATGCTGTGAAACTATACATTGAATCAACGAACATACGTGTGGGATTCTGGGCAAACTGGAACATCTACTCAGACTGAATCTTACCCACAAGCTCAGTCAATACCTGGTAATCAGTCTGAAACACCAGCACACAATTAATATACAACCAGAAACGGCTCATTTGTCAAGAAAGAAAGGAAAGAAACTGAATTGAAAACCTACAAATACCACCCCTTTACATTCAGAGCTTCATCTGGAGAACCCCTTTGGACCTATCGACATGGTGCTTATGTCCTCACAGGAAAAGCGGAGGAATAACTCTTCCTCCCATTCACGAGAGAGAGATCCCCAAATGAGGCCCCACTTCCACACCATTCTCAAAGCAATAAGAACTGGTGATGATCCACCTTTATCAAGAAGGCTGGGCTGATTAGTCTTTATATAAACCACTATGTACTGAACACTTAAAACATGATGTTTTTCTCCAAACAGCGAAGATCCTAAACAGTCGTTTTCAGATATACTCAATAACATTGCTGACCAAAGTATACCCAAGTCCTCTGCAATTCCACATACTCGTAAATCATGGTTTAATAATGAACGTATACAGGCCAGAAAAAGTAGGAAGAAAGCAGAAAAGTAATTTTGCCGACAACCTACAGTCCATAAGTTAGATAAACTTAAAATTTTAAATGCCACGGCTCAACGTGCATTTAAGCAGAATAAGCGTCAGTCTTGGAGGAAGTATGTTTCCAAGTTGAATTCTCGTACACCAATTTCAAATGTTCCAAATCTACTCTGCACCATCACTTTATTAACTATTGGAAGTTTTAATTAATAACTTTGTCCTCCTGAGAGGATACTACGTCCACAAACATTCAAAGTAAATTGAAACTCTCCACTATTTTTAACCGTAGAATATGTGTGTTTTTAGCTAGATTTGTCTACGTTGCTAACGGCTGAAGGGATGGTGTAATCCAGTTAGGGCCCATGCAGGAAGCAAACGTACTGTAAGTCCCCATGGTCCCTAGTATGGTGATCTACCTTCAGTCGTTGACAATCTATAGCCTGTTTTTATATTGTATTGCCACTCACTCACTCCAATATTTTAGAATTAATAACTAGTTTTAAATGGATATCTGTTATACACTAGTAGTTTTACTTTTCTTCGTCAACAGGTTTTTATTTCTAATTTTATTGATCTTTACTCTAATTATAATCTGTTCTCGTCACGATATGGCTGAAATATTGCCGATGTGACGATAAATATTCACTCACTCACTGACTGATATTGTTGAAATTCTGGGACGTAATTTGACGAAGAAGAATGTTTGGCGAGAGTTTCACCAATCTTATTGGCAATATCAGACTTATCAGTTAATACATTATCACTATCCTTCAGATGGTGAACAGTAGATTTGGAACCTTTGCCCTTTATTCTTTGTATTATATTCCACACCTTTGATTTAGGTGTACCGGAGTTAATTTTGGAAACATAGTTCTTCCAAGACTGACTCTTAGTCTGTTTAAAAGTGCGTTGAGCCTTGGCATTTAAAATTTTCACTGTATCTAAATTATGAACTGTAGGATATCTGCGAAAATACTTTTCAGCTTTCTTCCTACTCTTTCTGGCCTGTTTACAGTCCTTAGTAAACCATGGTTTACGAATATGTGGAATTGCAAAGGGCTTGGGTATAGTTTGATCAGCAGTGTCATTGAGGATATCAGAAAACAATTTTATAGGATCCAAAGCCAGTGGTATGCACAATAGCAGAACGGGACCAGGTCCTTCCAAAGGCTTAATTTTCCCAATAAAGCCTTTGTTAAGTCCCTAATCCCGTTCAGCTATTGTGTCTACTATGTTTCTGTTTTTGGGATCCGTTAAATGCTGCGAGTACTGATGTGAGAACAGGCGTTCAGCCAAGGTGCGATTGAATCTCTCGACTATATCTTGGCTGCGTGAGCTCCCGCTATACCTCGTCTCACCTGGACTTTGTGCTTGGCCCGCAGCGGAGACACGGCTCGCGTCCTGGATCGATTTGCAATACTGCAGGCCAGGTCAAGCTACTGCAATTGTATATGCGTTCTAAGGCTTTGGCGACTTCGTTCTAATCTTTGGTCATCAACGGTTCGGCTTCCTGTAGCAACTGGCGACGTCGACGACTGTCAGGTCGTACTTGTAGGTTTTACGCCTCACACTGTCATGAGGTAGGAACAGGAGGTCGAAATGTCGAGTTTTCTTCTCGGGATGTACCGAGTTAAACTTGCCTGATAGTTTGTTTTTCAAAGGTCACATGCAACCAAAAAATGAAACATAATTAAAACACAATTATCACTTATTCGTGACATATCATATACATTGCTGGTTATGAAAAAACATATAAACAAAATTATAAGCGTACAATCGCAAATCAAAAGGGGAATATTGTGTACTTCGGTTTACTTCCCAAGAAACGAAGCAGCCGGGATACCGAACCCAGTCAGAGCGGGTGGGTGTGCACTCAAGTGTAACGGCTGGTTCATTTGCGTATGCCCTCACGGCTTATTGTGTGTGTATATGTAGAGATGTTGGGTTTTGTAAATACATGCTCATTTTTTGTGTATAACATTTTGCAATCAACAGACATCATAACATGTCATGTGTTCAAGTATCACACCTGCCTGTCTGTGTAATTACATAATGTGACAGAGACCGAACTCGGGCCATAAATCAATGCATTTTGTTTATGGTGTATAGCCTGATTGGTGTTAAGTTCAAATTGCATGTGGTCAGTGATAGCAGCTGTGTATTAAATATTGTCATTAGCAGACACACAGGTGTCAATAAAACAAGACATTGAGTTTTGTCTGTGACAACGACATATCTATATCACAGTTAGAAATTCTGTCAACGCTAAATAATGACATTGCTTTTAAGTATCGAACTGAGAAAGTGACTCGGTAAGAAGAACGTGTGGTGAAATTATATAAACAGTTAATTTACTGTCATAACATATAAAAAGCTCGCGCCTGTGAGATATCAACAAAACATTAGAAAAATAGCTCACACCAAAAGCCTTCACCGAGTATCCACCGGACAACCCGCTTCCAAGTTGCGCGAACCCATTTCACTGCGCACGTGCTATGAGCGCAGCCCAGCTGTTGAAACCCGTTTTACCCAGAAAAGTCTGGGAAAAATTAGTGAAACGTTTGAACTCCGATTTCGCGCGGGTTTTTTCATCGCGTTATTTTTCAACTTTATAAGTTGAATTTGCATTTTTGACGATTTGTTTCTGTAAGTCCATAACGAAAGTTGTGTTTTACGTTGCATGTGACCTTTAAGCTAAGCTTTGGCTTTCTCTTCCGAGACTCGAGCTGCTTTGGC